GGGGGGGGGGGAAGACAACTGAGACATCGTTGTCTTCCTTTCTGAAATCAATGAGTGAGTTCTCTACGCGGGAATGCTACACGTTTCTTTGTGACGCTTTGTCGTCATGGTCGAAAGTGGAGACAGTTAACAGTACTCTAAGCTTTAAAAAAAAATTTTTAAAGTGACTGAGTAAAATTCGGAGATCCAACAGCCAATCAGCAGACAGCTACTTGGTGAATACAATTCAGCTTGTTCTCTCTTAGGGTTCTTTGAGTAGAAACTAATCAGTTCGAAGCCAGCCTTTGCACAGTTTGGAGGCTTTCGACTTTTCAGGTATTTGTGATTCCAGTAGTAAAACTACGTTGGATACAGTACTGCCTTCCCGTCCCCTGTGCTAATGAAACCGAGGCGATCAGGCGACACGTCTAGAGATCTAGATATTCCAAATATTAAATGTGCAAACTATTCAGGTATGTTATTTGTTTTCGTATTTCTTGATAGATCTATTGAGTCGTATTCCAACTCCTATTATCAAGTCCCCATTCTTCGACTCTCTCCACTCCTCCTCACTGTACATCGTGCATACTGAAAGGTCACTCCTCTTTCCATATTTTAGACGTTCCGTGGTTTCTGTCTCACTTGCATTTCCTGAGCACTCAATGGCTGTGGTTGTATAATATATATATAGATATATATATCTTTCTACTCAAACTGCACCCCTACCGATTCCTCCAAGTTCCTTCTGATTTTGTCATTTATTTCTATTTTCAGTATTCCCCGTCCTACAACCACTACCCCCGCTCTCTCCCCTTCTCTTTCCTTCCCTCTTTCTCTCTCTCTCGCTCTACTCACGGAGACTTAGGTCCCCTATGAGGACATTATCTCAATCAACAACTTTAAAAGTTCAAGAGTACCCATAATTTGTGAGTCTTGAGTTCAACTTCAAATTCCATTTTAGGTGCCTCTAAAAAAATACCCTTTATATGATATGTCCAATGAGTAATGTCTTGAAAATATACCTAAGAACTGAATTATTGCTTGTTAAATCAATTCAACTGAAAATATTTTATAATATTGGTTGCTTCGTGTCACTGAAGTTGGTACTTCTCCTTCAATTGGTTGCTTTCATCTTTTTCTTATCACACTAATATAGGAAGTATAATGGGAGTTTTAATACGTCAAAAATTTGGCACAAGCATGTAACGAATGGACATCTCCTTGAAGGATAAAAAGGTCCTTTCTGTATCACATGCTACAATTTGTTTTTTCTACTGCTCGGCTTATTTTGATAGAGTGTGGTGAGTTCAAAGATAGGCTTCCAACACACACACAGTAGTAAGTAAAGCGAATGTTTGGAAATTGTGTATGTGACAATTACATGTACATGAACAAATTTTCTCTATAGCAATATAGAATATAATACTCGACCAAAAACCTATATACTGCTATTTATTATTGTCGGTCGGTGGGGGTGTCAATGTCAGGACCTTCTGGTTTCCTCTCTCCTGTAGTTTGTGCCTGTCTGTCTTATTTTTTCCATAATAATATATTTCATTGTTATTATCTCGATGCGCTTCTCTTTACTCAAACTGAAAAGTTTAATAACTTAATTTAACTTCAAATTTATTTTTCTCTGAAAGCCAGTATCCACATGAGAATCCAACAGCTGACAGCTACCCAAGAAGCTGACACCCTGCACGGACCTTCCACTCACCCTTGGACATCCAGCCAAACGAATCCTGCCACAGCTACCCTGAAATTGGTGACATCAGATGGTCTGTTCACTTTTCTGGTCCAACAAGTATCCCAGTGGTCTGCTGCTACGATTTCAGTCACTCTCAGGCTTAAAATGATGCAGTGGGGCTGTAGAGATAGGCAAATAGGTTGATAGGTAGCTAGGCGGATAGGTTAGGTTCAGAGTAGGATTTTGTAGATTTGCCATGGCCATGGCGGGAGGTAGTTGAGGGGGCAGTGTAGGTTTTCTTTTTTTGGGGTAAGGGGGGGGGGGGGGTTGCAGGGGTAGAATGGTGAGGGTAGAGCCTCCTGCTGGTTTTGAGTTTGAGTGTGATGGGAGTGGCGTGTATACTGGATTGTTCCTTAAGGACCACAAGGAGCACCCAGAGGACCTCCTATAGACTGGACCATCAACAGGAGGTATTTGTCTGTGTAGTATGTCTTGGCACATTATTAGTTCATTGTTATATTTTTTAAGTTAAATAAAAGTTTTGTTGTTGCATTTAGTTGATAAGAGACAATGATATAATGTATTTACTGAAAGATTTTTATAAATGACTTTCTGTCCTTTTAAACCTGTAGTAAACAATATTATAACGACTCTTTGTTTTGAAACAAAAATGCAAACTATATAGATGCTAAAACATTGTATTGACACGTCTTACTCATCAGGAACAGCCGCAGACAGGAGGACCAGCCGGAGGAGCACCCACAGACAGGAGCATCTACGGGAGGTATTTGTCCTGGAAATATGTCTTGGAGCATTACTTGTTCATTATTGAAGTAAAATTAGAAAAACACGTGTTGGATTTTTTTACTTAAAGGCTAAAGTTTCCTTTTGCTTTTAGTTGAAAAGGGAAAATGATGAAACGTATTTACTAACAGATTTTTATTATTGTCTCAAGCTTTTTATATACCAGTAGTAAATAGTAGTATAGGGAATTTTTATTTTCTGAAACAAAAATAAAATCTGTATAGATGCTAAAACATTGTATTCATTGACACGTCTTCATCACCAGGACCAGCCGCGGACAGGAGGACCAGCCGGAGGAGCAAGGTTAAAGTTTTATTTTTGCATGAAAGTGAAAAAAGTGAAAATGATGAAACGTATATTCTGACCGGTTTTTATAAATGTCTTTCATGCCTTTTTAAACCGATAGTCAAAAATATTATAGAGACTTTTTACTTTCTGAAACGAAAATACAAACTGTATAGATGCAAAAGGATTTTATTGGCACATCTTCATCACCAGGACCAGCCGTGGACAGGAGGACCAGCTGGAGGGGCACCCACAGACAGGAGCATCTACAGGAGGTATTTGTCTGGGGAATAAGTCTTGGAATATTATTTGTTAATTTACTATGAAAGTAAAATTAGAAAAGTACCTATTGGTTTTTTCTGATTACAAGGTAAAATTTTACTTTTACATTTAGGTGAAAAGGGAAAATGACAAAAACATTATTTTTTTTACAGATTTTATTGTCTTTCAGACCTTTTAAACCAGTAGCAAAAATATTTTAGTGAGTTTATTTTTTCCCAAAAAGATAACTGTTTGTATAGATGCAATACAAATATATTAATTGACACGTCTTCATGACCAGGACCTGCCGCGGACAGGAGGACCAGTCGGAGAAGCAGCACCCACAGGCAGGAGCATCTACAGGAGGTATTTGTCTGGGAAATATGTCTTGGAACATTATTTATCAATTACTTACTTTGATTTTTACTTTTTGATCCTCTATTGCTGTTAAACATCGATGGGAGATGCAGTTTTCTGTGGTGGGCCTGCTCAGCACCTCTTTCAGTTTGGATATTTTGATTTCTCAGTTTCCTTGACAACCTCAATCCACATTTTGCATGACATTCCTCTTCTTTTATAGCCTAAGTGCTTAGTGTTATAGGTTCTCGAGGCTGGCTGGCGAGGTGACATACGTAACAGGTGGCCAAACCATTTAATTCTCTTTCTATGAAATGCAGGCAGGCTACTCAGTGCCAATAGCATAATCTATTAATTATTGAAGTAAAGTTAGAAAAATAATTTCTTTTTTTTCAAATTACAAAGTTTTTATTGCATTTCGTTGACAAGGTAAAATAATAAAACGTATTTACAGACAGATTTTTATTAGTGCCCTTATGTCTTTTTAAACCAGTAGCAAAATATTTTAGCGACAGTTTTATTTTTCACCAATGAAATACAAACTGTATAGATGTAAGACGATTGTATTAATTGACACGTCTTCATCACCAGGACCAGCTGTGGACAGGAGGACCAGTCGGAGGAGCACACAGACAGGAGCATCTACAGGAGGTATTTGTCTGGGAAATATATCTTGGAGCATTTTATTTTTGCATGAAGGTGAAAAGGGAAAATGATGAAACGTATATTCTGACAGATTTTTAAAAAATGTCTTTAAAGGCCTTTTTAAACCGATATTTTTAAAAATACAGACTTTTTATTTTCTTAAACAATAATACAGACTGTATAGAGGCAAGACGGTGGTATTAATTGATACGTCTTAATCACCAGGACCAGCCACAGACAGGAGGACCAGCTGGAGGAGCACCCACAGACAGGAGCATCTACAGGAGGTATTTGTCTCGGAAATATGTCGTGGAACATTATTTGTCGATTTATTATTGAAGTAAAATTAGAAAAATATCTTTTGGGGGTTCTTTTTTATATCAAAGTGAGAGTTCTATTTTTGCAGTTAGGTGAAAAAGGAAAATATTGAAATGTATGTTCTGACAACTTTTTAAAAATGTCTTTCTGACCTTATAAGCCAGTAGTAAATAATAATGTAGCCACTGTTTTTATTTTCTAAAACAAAAATTCAAACTGTGAAAATAGTGTAATGGTATAGGTTTAACGCCCCCTATCAACACTATAAGGTCATTTAATATTGTGGGGCATCCATCTCCACAAGGACCGAGCCAAATAGAAAATTCGTGTAAAGTGCCTTTCCCAAGGACACAACGTCACACCGAGCTCAGAATGAAACCCTCAAACTCGCAATCCCATGATTACAGGTCCTGTAGCCTATCCACTAGATCACCGACGCTACCAAAAATACAAACTATAGATGCAATACGATTATATTCATTGACACGTCTTCATCACCAGGACCAGCCACGGACAGGAGGACCAGCCGGAGGAGCACCGACAGACAGGAGCATCTACTGGAGGTATTTGTCTGGGAAATATGTCGTGGAACTTTATTTGTTAAATATAAAAGTAAAATTAGAAACTTAACTTTGGGGTTGTTTTTTAAATTTCAACATGAAAATTATTTTTTATTAATGTCCTTGTGTCCTTCTAAACCGGTAATATTACAGTGACTCTTTTAATTTTCTCAAACAAAAATAAAAACTGTACAGATGCACGACGGTTGTAATAACTGACACGTCTTCATCAGGACCAGCAGCCGGACGACCACCTACAGACAGGACGATTTCCGTTTATCACACTCAGGCTTAAAGTGATGCAGTGGGGCTGTAGAGATAGGCAGCTAGCTTGATAGGGAGCTAGGTGGATAGGTTAGGTTCAGAGTAGGATTCTGTAGATATTGCCATGGCCATGGCGGGAGGTAGTTGAGGTGGCAGTGTAGGTTTTTCTTTTTGGGGGGAAAGGGGGGGGGAGAGGTTGCAGGGGTAGAATGGTGTGGGTAGAGCTTCCTGCTAATTTTGAGTTTGAGTGTGAGGATGCTGGAGTGGCGTGTATACTGGATTGTTCCTTAAGGACCACAAGGAGCACTCAAAGGACCACACATAGACTGGACCATCAACTGGAGGTATTTGTCTGGGAACTATGTCTTGGAACATTATTTGATCATAATTACAGTTTTCCGAGTTAAAGGTAAAATATTTATTGCTGCATTAAGGTAAAAAGACAAAATGATAAAACATTTACTGACAGATATTTGTTAATGTTTGTCATTTTAAACCGGTAGTAAACAATATTATAGCAGCTCACTTTATTTTCTGAAACAAAAATCAAAACCTGTTTAGAGGCAAGACGATTGTATTAATTAATAACCACATCTTCATCACCAGGACCAGCCGCGGACAGGAGGACCAGCCGGAGGAGCACCCACAGACAGGAGCATCTACAGGAGGTATTTGTCTGGGAAATATGTTTCGGAACCCGCTGTTTGTTAATTATTAAAGTAAAATTAGAAAAATACCTTTTGGGTTTTCTCAGCTAAAGGTAAAGAGGTTTTTTTTCATTTATGTGAAAAGGGAAAATGATAAAACATATTTACTGACAGATCTTTTTATTCTTCTGTCCTTTTAAACGGGTAGTAAACAATATTATAGCGACTCTTTTTATATTTTCAAAAAAATACAAACTGTATAGATGTAAGAAGATTGTATTGACACGTCCTCATCACCAGGACCAGCCGTGGACAGGAGGACCTGCTGGAGGAGCACCCATGGACAGGAGCATCTACAGGAGGTATTTGTCTTGGAAATATGTCTTGGAACTTTATTTATTAACATATTATTTTATTACACCCTAAGGGCCTCGACGGGACGTCCATTCCTAGATTCTAAGCAAGGGGAAGGAACCCATCTCCCGTGAATGCAAGTGTTTAAAAAACATTTTTTTAAAATACTTAACAAATTCCAAAACTCCTGAAAAAAAATAAAAGTTAAAAAGTAAAATGAATGCAGTTTCAGAAAAATATAACTTTATATATGCGCAAGCTGTTGAAAATTTTCTAACTTTAGTTCAATCGGGGTGTCCGACCCTGAGACCGGTCCGACCCATCACTCTCACTCTCAGCCTCGCGGTCGGACCCTAGATCTACATTCTAGATTTTCTACATCTGATCTATCTGAATCACCCTAAACTCTTGCTACAACGTTTTCATCAAAATCCGAGTCATCTGATTTGTCATGTTCTTGCTTTTGCTCAAATCTATCATTTTATTTTTCGAACTCAATTGTGTCGCTTTTCAACAAGTCGAGACACCTCCGAAGTGTCGGTAACGCGGTTGCTTGCATTTAGGTGAAAAGGAAACATAATAAAACATATTTTCTGACAGATTTCTATAAATGTCTTTTCCGCCTATTCTGGGCCCCTGACTCTTTCTGCACCCTCTACTGTTTCTCCTTGGCTCCTTCTTAGTGCTGTCTTTTAGCCACATCCCTGATCTTATGGTAGGAAAGATCTGTACCTAGCTTTCTCGTTAAAGGGAAAACAATCTCAGAGGTCGCGTGTGCAAGTTGAGCTCGTTAAAGATCCCTTTGTGGTTCAAAAAATAGATTAGGCTTCTACCGCCACCGGGCCAAAATTGAAAATTTCTCACTAACTGACAATGTTTGGTGTGTTCCGCGCACTCATATGACCTTATGATGCACTTGCGAGCGGCAAAAAAACACTAACCTCCCCCCCCCCCCCCCCCCCCCAAAAAAAAAAAAAATTTTTTTAATGAATAAATAAATTAATAAAAGAATACTGACACTGGCAGGCAGGCCCCTCGTGTGTGATTACATACAAAATGTACATGTATTATCCTGTACTTTTTCTTCTATTACACACTTTTATCGTTAAAACGACCAATTTTCGGATAAATGAAGGCACGCCCTTGTCTAAGTTTTTTTGTTTTTTTATGATCTAATTTTGATTTCATTCAGTTGTGAAACGTTTATTTTTCCCTTTTTTACGTGCTACAAATGATATTCTGGGTGCTTAAAACAAAACAAGAAATGCTGGTGCTATAGATGAAGTTACCTCTTTCAACATATTGATATGTATACGTCGTCACAGAGAGTTGAAAGCTTGAAATTTAATGGCAACTTTTTTGGCAACTTTTGCCATTTTTGTAGCAACTTTTGGCAACTTTTGGACAAAAAATGGCAACAAACGCAGATGCTAGATAGATGCACGAGGATATTATTAATTGACACGTCTTCATCACCAGGACCAGCCGCAGACAGGAGGACCAGCCGGAGGAGCACCCACAGACAGGAGCATCTACATGAGGTATTTATCTGGGAAATGTGTTGTGGAACACTATTTGTTTATTTATTATTGAAGTAAAATTAGGAAAATACCTGTTGCTTTTTCTGATTGAAAATTAAAAGTTTTTATTTGGCATTTAGGTGAAAAGGGTAAATGATAAAACATATTTACTGACAGATTTTTATAAACGTCTCTCTGTCCTTTTAAACCGGTAGTAAACAATTTTTTTCTATTCTGAAAAATAAACAAACTAGAATCTATATAGATAATAGATGCAAGTTCTTCAGAAAAAAATGAAAGGAAAGTTTTACTGACACATTTATTTTTATGTCAGCCCGTCCTTTTAATACGTGCTAAAAAAGGTGGATTATAGGAAACTCTGTGGTGGGCACTTACATGAACAAATTGCCTCTGTAAAATATATACAATCAGAAACTACCACTTTTTCTTATAGTGGATGGGTGGAGGATGCCAATGTCAGGTCCTTCCTTTTTTTTCTTTTTCTCCGTTATTTTATTTCTCATGTGTGCGTTATGTGACCATTATTGCAACATGTACTTGTCTTTATTCAAATTTAGTGACTCGCGCTAACTTATATATTTTTCTTAGAAAGCTGCCAAGCCAACAGTTGACAGCCACCAAAGAAGCAGATACCATGTCCTGAGAGGAAGGACCTTCCAATCACCCTGGATGGTTACATCCTCCCCCGCTGCACATGACATCCAGTGCTGTACTAACATGATCACATTGTGCCAATAGCACTAGGAAACAATTTTTCCATTAGTCATTCAAGAAAAGACAATTGCCAGGCACCTACAATCCTGTCAACATGCAGCTACTCTTGAATAGACATGTCAATTCCTCCAGATGACTACCACGGACAACTTTAACAGCTGACTTGGCAGTTTTATTTCTCTTGTGTGAAATTGTGTTGAGAGTGCCGTAAAAACCAGCAAAGATTCAAGAAAACAATGTTCCGTGTGTGATGTCCAGCTGGAGATTTTGTAATGAAGCTACTTGGAAACAATGTCACTGATTTAGAATAAGACATTTTGTTCCTTACTTACAGTGCAAACTTTGGTGACAACAGAAGGTCTAGCCACTTTTCTGGTCAAACAGGTTTCACGGTGCTCTGTTGCTACGATTTCCGAATATCACACTCAGGCTTAAAGTGATGCAGTGGTGCTGTAGAGATAGGCAGTTAGGTTGATAGGGAGATAGGTGGATAGGTTAGGCTCAGAGTAGGATTTTGTAGATATTGCCATGGCCATGGCGGGAGGTAGCTGAGGTGGCAGTGTAAGTTTTTCTTTTTTGGGGGAAGGGGGGGGGGAGGTTGCAGGGGTAGAATGGTGTGGGTAGAGCTTCCTGCTGATTTTAAGCTTGAGTGTGAAGTTGTTGGAGTGGATTTTTTATTTTGTAATATTCCTTGCACTTTGTTGGTGCAGCTAATAAATGTTTACTGACTTGATAAAAAATAAATAATCAAGCACTGCAAGCTGTTGGTTTGGCCTTTGACCTTCTGTGGTAGACGTTCTGATACCACCAGTATTTTCTTGACTTGTAGTTGTGAAAAGTCTGAAGTTCACTGATTCAACAAAATTGAAAGCCTTTATAGTGCTACAAATTATTTTTTTATAGAATGAAAAGCTTGTTTACCGTAAGAAAAATGCTTCAACAGCCAATGTGTATATACTCGTATCTTGTAATTGTTGGAGCTTTACTCCAGCCCCTCTTTCTTAATGCTTTGGAACTTTATTCTGATCCCTTCTTGTTAACCTGTTAGAACTCTACTCCAACCCCATGTTATTGACCCTTAGGATTCTTTGACTTAGCTCCGATGTCTCTTGGTGACCCTTTTGTAGGGTTATTGACAAATCACATTGTTGGCCATTTATAACTTTGTCTTTAGTCCGACCTCATGTTGTTGACCCTCGGGTTTCATATCTTACCCTGGCTCCAAACCCACGTTGTTGATCACTTACAACTTTTCCTTTAGTCATATGTCTATATTTTTTAATGAACACTCATTGAAAATGCCTGTGTCATCTTTCTTATTTTCTCACATCGATAATTGCAAGGCTTTACTAGCTAACATACCAAATACCACTCTAGACAAGTTACCTTTTTAAAATCATGCTCCTAGGCTTGTACTGAAGAGACAGAATCACATTACTCTCATGTTAAGAACATTG